CAAACTAGGAAGTAGTCATCACTTTTCCATATGTCATCTGTACTCATGAAGAATCAGAAAAGCCATCCACTCATTGAGTCGTTCCAGAAGTGTTTCTTGAGCATCTACCATGTGTCTGCTACAGATCCAGGGATTGCAGACAAACAGAGCCAGCCAGTTATGATGCACTGTACTTTTGTGCTCTGAGGGTGAACTTGGGTTGCACCGGAAGTATGAGTTCACCTATCTCAGGTTCAGACCTCCAAGGAGGCTTCAGAAAAGCAGTGTGTCAGCTGAGCTGTAAACACTACTTGGAATTGCGTGAAGGTTATAGGAAAAAGACCTGGAGCAAACTTGGATGAGAACAGAATCCAGGCATTGACGACAGTGAGTGCAAAGCAGGGCCTCAAATGCTACACATCCGTTGCCAATGGTCGTGAAAGAGGCCATCGTGAGGCAAAGCAATCTTGCCTTCTTTCTTCATCAGGCATCCCGTCTGGGACCTCTAGTACATGTTATCAGTTTCTTTTATTTGTTTGGGGGGTTTTGATGTTGTTTTGGCGGTACAGCAGTTTTAAAATCAGGGCCGTATGCTTCCTAGGCAAGTACTCTCCACTTGAGTCATGCCCCCAGCCCTTTGTGCTTTAGTTAGTTTTTTGAATTAGGGTCTTGCATGTTTGCCCAGGGCCAGCCTGGGTCCATGTTTCTCCTACCTATGCCTCCCACATAAATGGGGTTCCAGATGTGTACCTGCACATCTGGTTGAGATTGAGTCTTGCTAACTTTTTGCCTAGACTTGTCTTGAATCATGATCCTTTTGATGTCCACCTCCTAAGCAGCTGAGATTACAGACATGCACCACCATACAAAGCCTTCGTTTGTCTTTTGTAGGACCCTGAGCACAACCTTCCTCATCATTGCATTCCCACTCTGTGTCTTAGAAAAAGCTCAGCACACAGTGAGTCCTGAACAAATGTTGATAGTTTTGCCTGTTGCTTTGCATCTTAAATAAGCATGCCCTAAGAGGTATTTATACTCCTGTGATTTCAGTGAAGTATATTTACCCACCTGCACCCAAGCAGAACACATTTGAACACATGTCATTGATTAAAGGTTCACTCTTCCGCTTTAAAGGTTAAATAGGAAGCTGTACTTTTTCTGCAGCAGCAGTCCTTGCTAGGAAGCTTTCCTTGGCTCAACAGTCTTCTCTTGTTATGAATATAACATCAACATAACTAACATAAGAATTCCCTGGAGACCAACTTTAAATGAAACCTCATTTAATTGTAGGTAATTCCTTTTATTCCCCAAGATGATGCTAACTTTCCAATTAAGGGTAAGAAATTTGTCAAAATCTCTGCCAAGTAAACCTATTGAAAACGAAGGGGTAGAATCTATCAATTCCCAAAAGTATACAACTATTTTGATTAATTGATCAAAACAAAGAGAAAAAGAATGGTAAGTCAAGAGGTCAATGGGCCCAGAAAACCAAAATAAAACACAGTGTCCGTGAGTTTTGTACTTCCTAAATCTCTAAGCAAAATGGTATGTGTTCTTTTGAAATAATGTTTTGCTAGAAGGAAAAATCCCAGATCAATATTAATTTTTCATCACTTACTATTTTGCTGATAGCTTAAGTGATTTGTTTCAATTTTAAAATCCTCTATGGCCCAAATCCAAGGTGTTAAGAAAACAGAATCAGGGTGCATAGGGCCTACAGTAAGGTAATCCATACATATGCACTGAACGAAGCATTTGTCTAGACTCGAGATGTGTGAGCAGTCACTTGCAGAGTCATAAAGGGACAAACGAGTAGGACACAAGCAACCCTTCGTCTTCACTGCAATTCTAAGTTGCCTTCCCTTTGTTTACTTGGCAACCTCACCATGCTTCCAGTGTGGTCACACCATCGCCATCACTGTCACCTGGGTGACAAGTGCCAATAGTGCCACATATGACCAGGCTACCAACAGATGATCTGTTCTCTAAAAATACCTGTGTCCACGTGGTCATCACGTTCAGAAGTCATCCTCTTGTCAACACCTTCAAGTTTGGCTCTAATTAGCAATGGTTCTCAAGACCATAGCTGTACTTTTCTTTCTTTTTCAGAAATCTGCACTACATTCCCTACAAATATAGGCTTTAATATATAAGCTGTGTATTTTTTAGAAATAGGAATAACAGATGTATTTTGAGACTATATGAATATATGTGTATATATATATATATATATATATATATGTTTTTAATAGTGTCTTGCTACATAATCCATGCTTGCTCTCAAATTCCTGCCTCAGTCTCTGTACTGCTGGAGTTACAGACATGTACCACCATGCCTGGTACTATCTCGAGTATATTTTTAAACCAAGAGATGCCATGTATAGATAATTTAGACTTAAGAGCATAGTTATGCTAATGTAGCATAACAACAATTCATTATTAAACATACTTAGGAAGATTAAGGACTGCTAACTGTCTTGCCCTTGATATCTGTGAAAGGGTTTACATGTAGTAAGCATGACATAGCAAGTTTTAATTCATCTGTTTTCTATTCTTTTTTCTCACCAAAACTCAAGAGTGAAAGAAAAACTACAAAATATGCATAGCAAGCAAAACAAATACTTGATGACATATCACCTAGTATTTCTACTAGCACTTAATCCTGGGTGTTGCTGCTTTATGGATATTTCTAGCAATATGAGCTTGAGGAAAGGAGAAAAATGAAAAACTCACCTTCCATCTCCAGGTTTGTACTGTGATTAAACGCTGCTAGCAGCTTTAACCTTGACTGATAAATTCTCTCTTCAGAGGCAGAAGTCTGTCTTAAGACTGTTCCTTGAGTTCTCATTCCGTAATGATACCCTCTGTATTTCCTGCAGAGAACACTAATACACCAGTTCCAGGATTAAGGGTTATTAATAGCCCCGCCCCCTTGTCCCCAGCTGGGTCTGAACACATGAACAGCTACAGTGGGGGCACTGTTCTTAGGTACAGAGACCTTGAGTGTTCATAATTCCTGATGTATGAAACTTTTTTTTTTATTAATGTCTGCTTCAAATGTTATCTTCCTTATCTTCAGGCCATTTCCTTGTCTACATGGAGATTTAGAATAATTTCCTTCCACTGTTACATTTTGTTCCTTGAAGGTATTTTATAATCAGAGTGCATGTTCCTCTCTCTTTCTGAGGCTTCCTTGTTTCAGGCAAAGTGTATTAAATCTCCCAGTCTAATCTGCCATTTGTCCTTTACATATTCTCAGTGCTGGAGATAAGAAAAGAGTATTCTATTCCAAGTGTGAAACATAGGAATACAACCCAGAATGGTCACAGTTTTCTTCCTCTCACCCTGTGTCCAACTGTTTAAGAAAATGTTCTTAATGTATGAATAAAGATTTGGGAATTTGGAAACCTAGTGCTATATAAAGACTGTAAAAACTGAATCACTGAAATTTTATGGATCTGATTTAAGTCTTCCTATAAAAATAACTAAATCCCTGCCTCTTTGACTTATAGTTGCTGTCATTAGAAACCTTTATTTCACCTATTACACGGTAGGAAAGGACCATAAGTGTCTTGCAATTCTCTCATCACTCAAAAGAAGCCTTTCCCTTTAACTCCTGTCCCTTCCTACCTGTGCTTTTATTTACTCTTCTTCAAAGTCTAGGATTTGATTTTTACTAATCTCATCACATGTTGAAGCTTTAGCATTTAATCTTTAATGCCTCTTGTAAATGTATTTAATCCAGATTCATAAAAGTTCAATTAGCATTTTGTCATAAAAGAAGAAAAGGTAAAACTAAGCTAGTTTCTAAACTAGAGTTTGTAAAAGTATATAACTGACCAGTTGGAATAATTTTTAAATGTCATTGAATTAATTGTTAATTTTCAGAGGTCCATAAGGTGAGCTTTCATTGTTGCCTGATACAGTCGAAATTAAAGAATAATTGTTCCCAGGAAGATGTTTGTGTACAAATATACAATATTTTTTCTAAAATTTTATGGAACGACAAAAGAGCTGGAATAGGTACAATTTTGAAAATAAAAAATAAGCTGGAAAGACTCACTACCCAATATTAAGGCTTACTATATACTACAATAATCAACACCATATACTATAGAAGTAGAATAGACTCATAGATCAATGGAACAAAACAGAGCACTCAAGCATGAGCCCTGGTGCTCAGCTTTTCTCAAACCTGCAAGGGTCTTCACATTGTAACCCCAGCTATTTAGGAGGCAAAGATAGGAGCAACATACTTTATGGTCAGCCTGAGCACAAAGTTACCGAGACACTATCTCCAAGAACAGGCTAGGCATGGTGGCAAACACTATAATCCCAGCTACTCAGGAAGTAGAGGTAGGAAGACCATGATTCCAGGGAGGCCCTGGGCAAAAATAAGTGGTCCTATCTGAAAAACAACTAAAGCAAAAAGGGTTGAGGGCATAACTTAAGTGGTAGAGCACTTGCTTAGGAAACACAGGCCTTGAGTTCAAACCCCAGTACTGCCCGCCCCACCAAAAAGGATCAAAAGGAACAGACTATTGATTATTGGTACATTCAGTAATCTGAATATCTGGGTAAAAAAGAAGGCCATTCCAAAAGGCCCCCTGGTGCATGATTCCATTTAGATAAAAACCTTGAAATAACAAAAATCATAGAAATGCAGAACAGATCACTGGTGGCCAGGAGGGCATGTTGAGGAGGGGTGGGAGCAGGTATGGCCATGAAAGGACATCAGGAAGGATCCTCAAGGAGAAGGTTCCATATCCTAACCACACGATGTCAATATTCTGGTTGAGACACTGTGCCATAATTTCACAAGGTGTTACCATCAGGGAAAACCAAGGAAGGGCACACAGTAGCTCTCTACTACTTCTTATAATGCCACATGAATCTACAGTTATCTCCAAAGAAAGGTTTTAATCAAAAGTAATTGCGTTGGCAAACTGTAAAGACGCACGTACTAAGAAGAGAAGTCGGTGTTACAATTGTCTCTTTTCTCTGTTGGGTTTCTCTGCCAGGCCTGCGAGGAGCTATTGCATTTGCCTTGGCGATCCGGAACACAGAGTCCCAACCCAAGCAAGTGGTGTTCACCACCACGCTGCTCCTAGTCTTCTTCACCGTCTGGGTGTTCGGCGGAGGAACGACCCCCATGCTGACTTGGCTTCAGATCAGGTGAGTGGCACAAGACAGCATTTGGAAGCAGGGTGTTGTGGATCGATGGCTCAAATCCAACTTGATGCAGAAAGTGATGGAGAGCTATTCCCTAACTCTCCTGGCAGCCACCTATGACCACCTATGAGCTGCCAGTTCCAAGAGTCTTGGAACGCCTAGAATGATGTCCATGTACAGTCTCTCCCTAGTAATGGTCTATTCATCCAGCAATGCTTCCATTCAACACTGTTGAAGTGCCTGCCACACACAGCTCCGTGTCCTCAAGATACTCACAATCTAATAAGGTTGTTTCAGAAAAAGCAGTGATACCAATGAGAAAGTGGATTTGGTTTGTGTTTTTAGTTCCTCCTAGCACTTAAGATAGAAATAGGACACAGGAAATGTTTAAATATATTTGGTTAGGGAGCCAAACGTTTAGCCAAAGGAATGCCATAGAAACAAGTTAAATACTCACGGCAAAGGAGGTCAGGCTTCCATCAGGACCCTGACCAGTAAATAGTGCCCGGAGGCTGGTTCTATAAACCTGAAGTGTTGGGTAGAGATCAGACAAACATGAAGGGCTGGTGCCAATTGGGAAATACAACCATAACAATGGCTTTCTTTAAATTTAAATATTTCGGTGACCTGGGTCCTCATTTTCGTTTCCCAGAAGGCTCTGTGTAGGCAAGTCACATTTTATTTCTCAAATCCATACATCTTGATCACACTGTAGTTCTTTCCCCTGTTCTTATCCATTCTCTAAGACAAACCTACCACAGCTGACAGGAAAAGATCCATCTGCAGAAGGACTTCCAGGAAGAGTCTTATGGACGAGAACTCTGTTATTCCAATACTTTGTATTGTGCCTGGCATAGAAAAGAGCTGAATAAATAATTCAAGAAAAAATAAATGAATGTAACCACAAGCATAAATGCTTTTGTTAAGCATTTACTTAAAATTTTATACCCATTTTTCCAAGAAAAAGCCAAAGCAGGTCTCACACCTTTAGTATAAGAAAACTCATGCTTAAGCCAGGCCAATGCTGGCTCCGCATTAAAACAAATTCAAGCAAAAAGGACCCCTCCAAGTACTGTGAACATTGCTAAACACATAAAAAGGCTCTCACTAAAGGTGAACAGAGACTGTTTTGAAGTGCCTGTTGAATTATTTTCTAGTCATAAAAATGTGGCCTGCAATTTCTTTCACAGTGGTGGTTACCTGCAGGCACCTATGGATGAGTACATATATTGCATTAAACTCTGTCGCACTAGACCATCTGTAAATAGTAAGATAGTGGCTATGTTAAGGTTTCTGGCAAATGAAATTCAAGAGGTTGGATCCCTGCGTGGAAAAATGAGGGCTTGAAAGCAAAGGTAAGAGGATGTCAGTCCCCACAAGAAAAAAGTATTAAAAACTCAGTTGTGCAAATTAGAATCTTCAAAGCATAAGGTAGAGATGTCAAGATTTCCTTAAGGTAATCATATATCATTTGTTTTATGCTGTTTCCTTTTTAACACTGAAGCAGTTGGCCCCAAATAAGTAACTTGCTTCATCCTGAAGTATTTACCTTAACTCTTCTATAGTGCTTTACAAAAGTGTCAGTTGACTTCCCATAGGTGTCATGACTTGTGTAAGCTCTTGATATCTGGGTCAGCAGGGAAAGGGGAGTATGGTAATGGGATCTTAGACAGGTTAGCACAGTTTTTCAGGTGAGAAGGAAGGAGAGTGATGTCAACAGCATGCAGGGTGAGGTTCCTGGAGGTCAACTTAGGTGAATGCTACTTTGACCTACCAGAGACATAGCACGAGTTTGTCAGATCATGGAGATACTCCAGTGGGAATTGACTCCAAATGGCCCAATTGATTCAGTGCTAGACTTGGCTGCCATCAAGGAGGGGAGAGAGATATAGGCAGGCCTGTGAAGTATTTAGGGAAAGTTGCTGACAGAGCTCCAGTCTAGTAGGCAATATGATTTATACTCAGTTGAGACCTAGAGCATAAATCTGAAATCAAGACAGAATTGCATCCATAAGGAAATCAAAGGAACAAAACTAAAATTCAGATACGTGATACCCAGGAAGTCAACTCAAGCAGACAGGATACAGGGCAGCAAGAACAAGACCAATGACTCTCAAACTAGAGTGAGCATCAGAAACACCAGGAGGGTTCATTAAAACCCATATGGCCAGGCATCCCCTGCTCAAGTTTCTGATCCAGTAGGTCTAGAGAAAGGCCTAAGAATTTGCATTTCTACCACATTCCAGAAATGCTAGTGCTGCTGGTCCCAGGACTTCCTTTTTCCTCAAATACTGCCAAATTTGATTAGGGTTGTCCAAGGTCAAGCATACTAGGGCTCTGTACCTCAACTAGAGGGAGCAAGGGTTAGTATAGGAGGAAAAGTCATTGTGTGTTGATCAGTAGGAAAGAAAGAGGACATAGCACAATAAATGTAAAGAACAGGACCACAAGTTAGTATGTATGCAAACACCCACATATACGCACGACCTGATTTTGGTTCAGCTCTGTTATGGTGACACCACCATGTGCTCCACTTCCCTGTCCTGTTTATGATCTCATCACTGAGATCCTCAGTGACATTATAGCGTTCAAGCCCACAGTTTCCCATTCTTTAGACTGTATTTAGCAAGTCCTGGCTAACCAACTTTCATGTCAGTTTCTTTTGAAAATTGGATACAAATAGGTAAACAGAAGGAAGGCAATGCAGATGTGATAGTGAATGAACCCAAACATCCTTGTCTAGAACATGGTTTATTTGCAAACTTTACATGGCCTTCCCTTCTTGATTCTCAACATCTGTCTTTTACATTATTAGACTTGTGCCTGATGGGTTTTTTGTTTTGTTTTGTTTTGTTTTGTTTTGTTTTATGGGGATTTGGGCAATACTAGGGTTTGTTTGAACTTTTGCGCTTGCTAGGTAGGTGATCTACCTCTTGGTCATGCCCCAGCCCTTCTTACTTTGTATTTTTTGATAGAGTCTCACTTTTTTTCCCCCAGACCATCCTGGACTGAGATCCTCTTACTTATACCTTCATCATAGCTGGGATTACAGACTTGTTCCACCACGCCCAGCTTTTTTGTCGAAATAGAGTCTAGTGAACTTTTTGCCTGGGCTGGCCTTGAACCATGATCCTCCCAATCTCTGCCTCTGGAGTAGCAGGTATTAAAGGCAGGAGAGTTTTTTTTTTTTCTTTTTTAATACCAATAAAATTTCCATTTAGTCACAAACTACCAAGGTACAGTGTAAATAACACATTTTATATAATGTTAAATTGGTGGTACTAATATGAATTGTACTTTGATGGAAATGACTTTAAAATGGCAATGATCCTATGGGTTGAGAAACTCATAATGATATTTGCAGGTGAGGCAAACTCTCCATTGATTAAAGTCTGGTCCTAAGCACTATTCTAATTTCTTGTCTTGAAGCAGCTCAATTTTTTTTTAAGTAACAATAAAATATGTTTAATGGAGCATTGAAATAAATTAAATGTTTGTTTCTTTAAATTCTAGAGAAAAAGAAAAGACTTCTCTAGCATTATTTTAAATGTTTTCTTACTTTTTTTTTTTTTAAAGTGAGTGTTTTCTTGATTAGAGTTTGGATCTCTTCCCTTCTGTGGAATACATTAATGCTGACAGTGAGGAAAACCCAACCCACAGCCTTGGAGGACCAGCTCTGCTGCTAGGCAGGAAACTGAAGAGTTCAAAGGTGTCCTGCAGAGGCCAGTAAGCAGGATTATCGACAAAACACTTACATGTGCTTACAAATAAACATCAAAGACCAAGAGCACCCAGCTCTCTGGCAGTGGCACCAAATAATTAACTTTGGGATGGTAATGCCATCCTTGGTTTAGGGTAGGGCAGGGTGAGAAGTTAGTAAACTTTCAGCAAACAGTATGTGAGAATGGTGGCTGTACACCAGTGCAAACCTTTCCTGCACTCCTCAGAAAAGGATGCTGGGCTCAGCACCTTTTCAATACACTTACACTGAACCACAATGTTGTGGAAAGCCTTGCATACAAATATTAGTACAGAACTTGTCTCCCACACAGCATGCAAAAGACCTTTGTAGCTGCCAGAGTGTAACCTCTAAATTCTTTGGAGCAATCTTTCTCTTTGGCCTGGAACAGTTAAAAGTGAACAAAGCCAGTCCTGGTCCAAGGTAACCAAGAGGGGACATTTGTCTTCCTCAACTATAGGAATCTAGAATTACAGGAATTGCAGGAACTTGGCACCTGCTCATCTTCATGCCCATCTCCACCTCATTCAGTATCCCAGGCTGTCCTGCTGTCCGCCTCTTCCCTAAATGAATCAAACAAACTTGCCTGTGTCCAGTGTAGAGTGAATAATGTCTAGATATTATTCTAGTTATCAATATTCTAATTAAATATTTAATTTCTATTCTTGGCTTATGACCAAAAGCCATCCTAGAAGGCTTTCATTATCATGTATACCTACAGACTACAAAATTGTAAAATAATAGCCACCATAGGAACGTACACAAAGAGAGAACGGTCCCTAATAATGTTTTTAAGTCATAAATGCTAACAGAATTAACTATGCTGCTTACATACAGACTTCCTGTATTACGGAGGTGAGGAACTATCAATTTAACATACTAGAGGAATGCATGTAATTAAGTTCCCTTAATAGTTATCTTCTATTGGTTTAACAACTTCCTTCATTGGTATATTAATGCAGTTAATAAGTGCACACACACTCTGGAGTCGCAGTGTGTAAGTCCCAACCCCACCTCCACCTCTTAATGCTATGGGGCTGTAAGCAAAAAATTCAACCTCTGTATCTGTAAAATTGGAATAATAATGGTAATAATATCTCTTTAAAATGTCTGAAGGATTTAGTATTAGGAGTCTAAAGAATTTAAAACATACAGTAAATGCACAACAAATATAGCTATAATAACCAAAGGACACTTATGTGACTTTCCTTATCCAATACTATTTTTGTTTAGTGTATATACACACATATAAAATATTATTAAT